AAAAAAAAAAAAAAAAAAAACGGTTTGCAGCTCAGTGGTGGAGTGTTTGCCTAGTGTCAGGAGGCCCCAATATCACAAAAACAAACACCTTGACATACTTCATACTAATAATCTAGGAACCAGGGGAGAAAAGCTTCCGGACTAATGACAGCACTTAGAAATCCAAATATGATGGCAAGTGGAGGGGAAGAGGTTTTTAATTTTTTAAATTTTTACCCAAAAGCACTTAGTGTCTTGTCTAACATTTAACAACATTAATCTGTTCGTGTTGTATAGACTTTATCATATTTTTAAATTTTTTGTTTTGCTTTTTGAGGCAGTGTCTCACTACATAGTTCAGGCTGGCACTGAACTCACGGTAATCCTCCTGCCTCGGCCTCCAGTCGTGCCACCATGCCCATGTTTAAAATTCCTACTTCATTATAAAAATGCTGATTTCAGTCCTTCCGACTGATTACCTGGTGGGCTCTGGCCCCTTTCTCAACACCCGTATCTTCTTATTGGACAAGACAAATGACTTGCTCAGAGTTAAACTTCAACTTTCAAGGTTTCTCCCTGCTCCTTTGCCCACAACTGCAATTTTCCACCACCCTGCACTTCAGTAAATATTGGCAGGTTTTGTGAGTTGGGAAACATAGATAAATGCAATCTTTGCCAATGCTTTCAAGTAGTGACACACACTTTGGCCAAGGGTGGCAGGACTCTGCCCGCCACACAGCAGGTCTCCACAGCAACCTGCATGTAGACTCGGGCCTGGGAGAGCTCCTACGTGACCCGCGGAGCCCAGTGTCTTTTCCTTGGAATCCTAAACCTAGTGCAATCCCTTTAGGGCTAACACCATAAATCTCAAATGTGGGATGACTGGTGGATTGTCAACTCATAGGTTTGGGGTTGGTACTATTTTCCTTTTTAGAAAAAAAATTTTTTTAATGTAGCCCAGGCTGTCCTCAGAATCACAGCGATCCTTCTGCCTCAGCCTCCCATGTGCTGGGATCACAGATGTGCGCCCCCACCCTCCTCTATTTCCCGTTTCTTTTTTCTTTTCCTTTTTTCCTTAAACATGAACTTGGAGATCTTCAGTTTCTGGTCCGCATACTGCTGACTAAATGATTTTCCTGTTTCACCAGTGCTAAAAGAAAGCTCACAGAGGAAGAAAGAGGGGCTTCAGAAGCAAGCTGCAAACTGCTGTGTGGCAGTTTGCCCTGCTTGATAGCAAAAGCAGCAAAGGTTGCTGAGGGCCGGGGAAAGACAGCAACTCATTACAAGCTGTGTGTGCCGTGTGAGCGGGGCCAGGCCTGAGCTGTTTGGTCTCGTTGGGCAAAGGAGAGCTGGGTCCATACTCGAAGTTCAGGTTGGGGTCAAACTTTAATTCATGCATCTTTCCTGGCCTATAGAAGAGGCTCAATAAATATATGTTGAAAGAATTAGTCACAGTCCCTCTACTTGAACCCATCGAGTGGCTCTTTAGTTTCACCTCTGCCTCTCCAGTGAGATTAAACCTGTAATTTTCCAAAGCAGCGAGACTTGGACAGCTCTGTAATCCCAGTACCCGGGAGGCGGAGCCCAGCCTGGGTAACAGTGGCTTAGCAAGAGCCCGTCTCAAATTGACACTGAAAAGTGCTGGGGATGTAGAGTTCAGTCCTAAGGGAGGGGAAGTGGGGGGGGGGACCAAGTGGGATAATTTGAGAAAGTCCAGTACCTAGGTATTGTAGTTGAAGTTTACAAGGGAATAGATTTAATACAGGACACTTCATTTACAGGATTATTTTATAATATTCACCCAAAAAGTCAAATGCAGAGGAGTGCAAGCAATCTGTCCACACACTAGAGACCGGAAGAATCCAGCCAAGGGCCTGGATTGCACAGCAATGTCCCGCACGAGCCCAGCTAAAGGCCTAGAGCCCGAGGCAGTGTCCCCCATGAGTCCGGCCAGGGGCCCGGAGCCCACGGCACTGTCCCATGCAGGTCCATATCCAGGATCTTCACCGGGAAGGCCCAGGCCAGCGGCGGAAGCCACAAAGCCTGCACCAGTAGGGCGAAGGGTCTGTGCCACCAGGCTGCGGGATCTGCACTGGAGCCAGGAAGTGACGCCTAAGGAGAAGACCAGAGAGCAGCTGCCACCCCGGCCACAGTGAAGGAGACCTGAGCTCCTCCTCCTCCCACGAGAACAGCCAAGTTCGCATGAGGAAAACCAACCGCAGCAAGCTGCTTCTAGAAAATCAACAGCCAGCCATCTCCCCACGCCCAGCTCTCTTTTTATGCCGTTGGCCACGTCCTTAGGTGCGTCTTCCACGCTCAGAACCACGCTGACTTTGTTCAGCAGGGCGTTCCAAGGTGACCATTAGTTAATCTACCACACTGAGGAATCTATTTTTCACTCTATATTTAACATGATTTCAACTTTTGGACTCCTATTCATGCTGCAGGGAAATCCTAGATAAATCTACAAATAAGATTTTTAGTATAACTGCTGATGCTTCCAAAATCCAGGTATATGTTTGGTGGATTTCCAGTGCTTATTCCTACTGTCCCAGCAAAAATGCCTGGTTTCTTTACCTCTCAGAGGCATATCCCTGCCTGGGATAGGGAGAGCTATTGAATTAAAATTAAGAGTTTTGAGCTGGGCATGGTGGCGCATGCCTGTAATCCCAGCACTCAGGAGGCTGAGGCAGGAGGATCGCTTGCTATGAGTTCGAAACCAGCCTGAGCTACATAGCGAGTACCAGGTCAGTCTCAACTACATAGTGAGACCCTGTCTCAAAAAAACAAAAAAAATAAATAAATAAAAATAAAATTAGGAGTTATATTAACTCTCTTTCCAAAACCTCACGCAGACAGTTGGGCTTTCCTTCTTTTTATCTTCCTTCTTTTCACATCTCAACTTGCAGTTCTGGCTCATATCTGAGTTTCTCTTCCCCTGTGGTTGAAATCTGGTGTCTTAATACTTGCCGTGAAGCATGTGCCCTACAGCCAAGTTCTGCCTGAATTGAGGACTTGTTTTTAAAATGATTTAAGCCAGGTATGGGGTGCAGGTCCATAATCCCCACAGGGAGGCTGAGGCAGGAGGGTTCCCATGAGTTTGAGGCTAGCTTGAGCTACTTAGTGAGTTCAAAGCCAGCCTGGGCTACACGGCAAGACCCTGTCTCAAAACACACACACACACACACACACACACACACACACACACACACACACAGAGGAAAGGAATAAAGAAAAAAGCTTAAAAGAGGCCTTTGAGAAGAACACTATAACTGTTGATGCAAATGGAGAAAATGAACACATGTAAAGAAAACATTTGCAGACAGAGGATTAATTCTAAATCTTAAGTCAGCAAATCCACTCTGCAGGAAAAGTACCAAATTGTCAGAAATGTTTTGGTTTCTTTGGCTTAATATGCACAGTAGACAAATTTTCCCTCAGTTTGGAAAATAATCCTGCCCAGAACTTTTCTTTCTCTTTCATGGAAATGTGGTCCAGGAAGCAGCTGTATGGACATCATCTGGGTGGCCAGCTTTCCTGGTCCATGGCCAGCCATGTCTCCCAAATGTGGACAGAGTCATGCCCAGAGCTGGTGTCCTGACGCCAGGGTCATCAACTGAGACCCTAGGTTGTCCAGGTGCTGGGCTGGGTGCTCATATTTGTGTCATCTCATTTGGTCCCAGCAGTTGTGTGAGGCAGATATCCTACCCATATTACAGATGAAGAAATAGAAGTGCCAACTCAGGAGGCTGAGGCAGGAGGATGGCTGTGACTCTGAAGCCAACCTGGGCCATATAGTTCAAGGCCAGTTTGAACTACATAGTGCGACCCTGTCTCAAAGAATCAAAAATAAAAAAACAAACAAAAAGAAGTGGGTGGGCTGGGCGTGGTGGCGCACACCTGTAATCCCAGAACTCAGGAGGCTGAGGCAGGAGGATCACTGCAAATTTGAAAGTTTGAGGCCAGCCTTGGCTACGTAGTGAGTTCAAGGCCCATGTGGACTACATAGTGAACCCCTGTCTCCAAAAAAAAAAAAAGTGGAAGTGCAAAGAATACAAAATAGGGGCCGGAGATTTAGCTCAGCAGCTCGGTGGCTGCCTTGCAAGCACAAGGACCCGAGTTCAATCCACGGTAACAAAAAAAACACAAAATGACTGGCTCTAAGTGGCACAGCTTTTAAATAGCAGAGCCTAACTTCAGGTGTTGGAGACCTGTCTCAAAGCCCATTTCATTACTTCTCAGATATGAAAGACTGAAAAGCTGCTCCAGAAAGCAGAGGGTTCAGGCTTGGGCCCTGGTATGAGCGCTTCCTGCCAGGCAGGCTCTAGGCTGGGCCTCACAACTGTAACCTCTTTTGAAAGCCAGGATTCAGGTTCACAGTGGAATCAGGCGCCAGGGGTGCAAATTAAAAGACACCCAAATAAAATGACAAGGTCATAAGGTGTGGTGTGCCTGGGGTCACTGCGTCCCAAAATGCATCCTAGAAGTACTCTGCAACAGTAGGATTCAGCTTCCGTGATGAGCTGAGGGCCCAGGACTCCCAGCCAGGCGAGGGAAAGGTACCTGAGCTGCAGTCTGAGGCTGAGAAGTCCACTGCTTCTGTGGCCAGGCCCGGGGGGCAGGGACGCGATTGTGCAACTCTGGCTTCTGTAATGAACTCAAGGCCAGGACTTAGAGCTGGGCAATCACAGCAGAGAGCTCCATAGGTCCAAGAATCCAGGAACCAACCGGGAGCAGAACCTGCCGAGTTCCATGCCTCTTGGCCTCAGCGCAGCCCTTCTTGTCTATGGATGGGCAAGGTGGGAGATCCCAGCACGCTCCTAATCCCATCTGAGGTAGGAGGATTGGAAGTTCAAGGTCAGCCTGGGCAGCCGAGTGAGGCCCTGTCTCACCAGAGAGCCCCTGGGCTTGATCCATAATCCTGCAAAGACAAACAAGTGAAAATGATAGGAGACACTGCTTTGACTTTATTAAGGGTCAGTAGGTTTCCCTGCAGATGTTGAGATAAATCAAACTGCAGCTGGCTTTGAGGCCCACAGGAAGCCCGGACTCTAGCCCAGTGCCTCTTAAAACTTTCCTGTGCACATAAATCAGGGGGGAGGGTGGCTTGTTTGCTGTTTTGAGATAGAGTCTCATTATGTAGTTCAAAAGGCCTTGAACTCACTGTGATCCTCCTACCTGAGCCTCCCGAGTGCTGGGATTACAGGTAGTGAACTACCACACCTGGCCCTAATTCTTCTTTTTTTTTTTTTTATCAGGGATTGAACTCGGGACCTTGCACTTGTAAGGCAGGTGGTGGAACCGCTGAGCTAAATCCCTGGCCCAGGCCCTAATTCTTGAGAGGACTTTCCCTCCTGAGCAGATACCAGGCTCCAGTCTGAAGATGTGGCTCACACAGCACGAATTCTTCAGCTAGCCCTTGAATCTGTGTCCTGTGGCCTCGGCAGCAGATTACCTGAGGGACTTGGGGGAGCTGATAAACTGGTTTCTGAAATTACCAACTAGAGCAGCCCCAGCCGGGTGGTGAACTTCGCTGAGTGCCTGTGAAGTCAGTTGGACTCTGCTCTGCAACCTCTCCTGCAGGCTTTTCCCAAACAAACACCACCAAACCCAAACCAATAAACCAACAGAAATTCTTCCTGGGAAACAAATAATCACTGCTCTTCCCTGACTCCCATGCATTTGTGCATTCACAGACAGGAGAGACAAACAGATTGCAGAGTGTGTGCTTGAGAACCTAAACTTGGAGTCTGGTTAAAAGTTGGCCTGAAGGGCCAGGGATTTAGCTCAGTGGCACTGTGCTTGCCTCACAAGCATAGGGTCCTGAGTTTGATCCCTGGTACTGAGGAAAAAAAAGTAGAAAAGTTGTCCTGAAAGCCAGGTACGGTGGAATACATACATAATCCTAGCATTTGAGAGGCTGAGGCGGGAAGATCACCTGTGTTCAAGGATAGCCTGGGCTACAAAGTGAGACCCTGCCTCAAAAAAACAAAATAGAATTTTTAAACTATAAGAGTTGGCTTGAACGGGACACAGCCTTGACCTGTTTCTTTGTCCCCTCTTACAACTCACCTCTCTGGGGAGGCAGAGGCAGGAGAGTTCCAGCAAGGACACTCACACTTGGAGGGTGGGTGCCCCACAGGGCAGTTGACATCATCAGCTGTCATTTGGGAATGGGCTCCCAAGATTGTCCTTTCATGCATGGCTTTGCCAGCCCAACCAGGCTGTCCCTGGAGATGGTGCCTGCAGACTCTGCCCTGGACATCTGGACAACTCTGCAGGGAGCTGCTGCTCAGTCAGCCACTGGCCTGCAGCCATTGCTCTCTGGCCACTTAGCAGTCACAGGGCCGAGCCGGAAGTGGCCCCAAACTCGCATCCATGCTGAACGGCAGCACTTGTTGGCTGTGTACCGGCTGCCTCTGCCAGGAAGCCTGAGTGGCTCCATCCTGGTTCTAAGCTTGGGCTTGCTTCAGAGCACCCATCAAGTGACCGCTTCCTGTCTGAGGGCCACCTCTGATTTTCTGCTGGTTCACAGCACAGACTGTAGAGGTCGGGGATTCAGCTCGGTGGTTCCGCCACCTGCCCTGCAAGCACAGCAGACTGTGTCTGTGAGTGAGTGAGAGGGTTACAGGGTCATTTCCTGTCCTCCCCTGGTTCAGGAGCATCTTTGACTAAACAGTGACCAGACGTCTACTCAGTGCAGTGTGTTGGTCAGATTTTCCTCACTGTGACCGAACACTTGAGAAAGTCAGCTTCTAGGAGAGGTTTATTTTGGTACTGGGGATCGAACTCGGGTCCTATCGGGTCCTTACGCTTGCAAGGCAAGCGCGGAACACCGAGCTAAATCCCCCGCCCTAGGAGAGATGTATTTCGGCTCACAGTTTCAGAGGTCACCGGCTCCAAGGCGGGAACATCACAGCGGAAGGGCCTGGTGCAGGACAGCTGCTCACCTCTCACTGAGAAGGAGCAGAGACTACGGAGGAGCTGGAGGGCAGCGGGCTGGGAACGAGGTTCAGCTTTCACAGGCAGCTGCCCGTGACCCACCTGTCCGATTAGGCCCCACCTCCGAATAAGTACACGGAGCTGGGGTTGTCATCAGGTCATGTGAGAGCCCTCAGGGGCCACCCAGTTCCTTAACTCTCATCAGTTGGCCACTGTGTTCACGCCTTTCCTCCCGACCGACACAGTACCGTTCGGCTGCGGTATTGACACGCACGACTCCAAGGAGGAGAGGTTTACTTTGGCTCACGTTTACCGTCCTTAGCTGGCTGGCTTCAGAGCCTGGCAAAGGAACCTAAGCACATCACGGAGGCCCGGAAGCACAGAGAAGGGAGGAGCTGGGAGGGAGGTGACCCCCAGGTCACAGCCCCAGACACCGCCTCTTCTGACCTGACCCTGCCTTCTAAAGCAAGCCGGCCCCAGCGCCCTCCTAGTCTGACCGCCCTCCAAAGCTCCGCCTCTGGGTGCATGAGGCTTTGGGGAAACCTAGATAGAAAAACCATGGCAGCAAACGAACCTTCAGTGCAGTGAGGCCTGGAGGTGACATTTGGGATCCCAGCGCTAGCAGCCTGGCTGTGGGGGCCCCCGTGGTAAAGAGGGACCCGAAAATCCTCGAGGGTCTGTCTGAAGCTTTGCCCACCGGGTGCCCGCTGGGGCAGGGCCTTCCAGAGCCCCAAGTGCCACTTGCCAACCACCGGGAGTATCGGAAATATTAAGAGGAGCAAATTCGCTTCATATTTAGGGATCACGCACGAGGGGCCAGTACGCAGTGCACTGAAAAGTTCAGCAAGGTTCCCGTAACGGCCAGCTGGACACAGACACACAGGTGCGGTACATCAGCTGAGGGAGAGGGTGTGACTGCCTGAAGCTCCCACCCCTCTCGTCCGGATCAATGGGATTCCCTCTGACTCTTTCTCCACGCGCTCACTGTACAAATAGCAAATTGTGTCCTCTCTCCACAAGTGCCAGATCGTTGTTCTCAGGTGCCTGAGTGCCAATTCGGATCCGACCTGTCCCAAAGAGAATCCAGTATTCTACTCCTCAATACTTCTTTGCTTTGTCTTTTAGAGACCAGGGCTCACTATACAGAGACTGCTCTTGAACTCACTCTGTAGCCCAGGCTGGCCTTGAACTTGGGGCAATCCTCCTGCCTCAGCCTCCCAAATCCTGGGATTACTGGCTTGAACCACCACACCTAACCTAAAAAATCCAAAGGAGAAAAGATCTGTAATCCTAGCACTCAGGAGGCTGAAGCAAGAGGATCACAGTGAATTCAAGGTCAGCCTGAGCTACATAGTGAATTCTAGCCTGAACTACATACCAAGACCCTGTCTCAAAAATCCAAACAAAGAGAGAGAAAAGAGAAGCCGCTGTGAACAAAATCAGAAAAGATAGCTAAAGCATTTCCTGAGCAATGTACTCTTTGATTATTGGAAAGAGAGGCAAAATCTGGACAAGTCTCAAAGGAAAGTCGGAGATTAGGAGTTTCGTAAGGAAGGTCACCTTCCTCCCAGGACAACTGTAGTTAGCTGTTAGGAAACAGAACATGCTTGGATTAATTTCAACTCAGGTGTTTATAAGGTTCTCCACCTGCCAGGAGACTAATAAAATAAATCAAAGATCCATATCCTTCCCCCCAGACACACCCTTCCTTTCCTACAGTTTCCCTGGGGTTTTGGGTCATTAGCACAATTAAAGAGTTAGATTAGCCAGGGATTTAGCTCAGTGATCCTACATAGGTCCTGAGTTCATTTCCTGGTACCAAAAACAAACAAACAAACAAACAAAACCAAAGAGTTAGAGTAGCTAAAGCCATAAATTTAGATTCTGGCCTGGTTTGGTGGTGCACACTTGTAATCCCAGAACCCAGAGGCTGAGGCAGGAGGATCTCCATGAGTTTGAATCCAGTCTGGGCTAAATAGTGAATTCAAGGCCAGCCTGAACCACAAAGCAAAACCTTTAAAAAATACATTTAAATTCTGAAAGCTGCATGTTGTGGCACACACCTGTAATCCAGCACCCAGGAGGCTGAGGCAGGAGGATTGCCATGTGTTCCAGGCCAGCCTGGACTATATAGTGAGACTTTGTCTCCAAAAGAAAAGGCCAGGGATTTGGCTCAGTGGTTCTGCCGTCTGTCTCACAAGCTCAAGTTTCGATCCCCAGTACCAAACAAACAAAGGAAAGAAAGAAAATAGAATAGAATGATTCAGGAGCAATGACTAACTTGCAACTCTTGAGAAGCCCAGATTTTCCCAAGCACTTGCATGGCACAAACATAAAGAAAATCAAAATGCAATGAGAAGTAGGCTTGTGGGACAAAGCAAGTTCCTCTCTGGGTTACCTAAGGCTGAAGAGAGTGTCCTCACCCAGGACCCTGTTCTAGCCAGGAGAGAGAAGCGCCCAGAGTCCCCTCCAGGTGCAGGGTCATTGAGGCCTTTGTAACACCAGAACCCTGGGCCAAACTCTCCTAATCCTGTTACTCTAACTCTGTAGGCATCTTTTCCTTTGTTTGTTTGTTTTGTTGAGACAGTCTTCCTTAGTAATTCAGGCTGACACCGACCTCACTATGTAACCTGGACTGGTCCAGAACTCACAGCGATCCTCCTGCCTCAGCCTCCTAAATTCTGGGATTACAGGCATGCGCCACCACATTCAGCACTAGGGCATTTTCTAAAAACTTTCTGAATACAAATCATCTTGTCTAGGAGTCTGAGGCAGGAGAATTGCAAGCTCAAGCCCACAATGGGCAATTTAGTGAGACCCTGTCTCAAAATAAAAAAGAGACTGGGGATGGAGCTCAGTGCAAAGGCACACATAAGCATGGGTGCACGCGTGCGCGCGCACCCACACACACACACACACACACACTCATGCACTGTAGCGTCTGACTCAGAGTACCCTTGTCTCGGACAGGCTGGTGTATTTATATCCACAATGCACCTGTGCCTTCCTAGTCCACCCACGCAGCTCTGCGTCCTTAGACCTGGTAATTTGTAAAACCTGACCCGAGATAGGGACTAGGAGAACATACCAAGGCACTAATAATCCCTGCACCAATTCCTGGCCTGACTTCCTACTCCACTGCCCCTCCCCATGAAGGAAACAGTAAATGACAACATTCCACCCAGCACGGAGGAGGAACGGCCAAAGCGCACTCTCAGAAGTGCTTGGCTTCGCGCTCCATTTCCATAAAAGGATCTTTAGTAAAAACAGAGCTTTCTGTCTTCCCCCTGAAGTCTTAAATTAGGCAAAAGAGGAAATACCCTGCAAAGAATCTTCCAGGCTCATCAATATTTTATGTTTGCAGAAATGATTCCTCAGTGGATCTCGGCCTGCGGGCGGGTGAATTCCAGCGGAGCCGTATGAACTTGTGCCTTCTCTTCCATGACAGTTGGGTCACTGGTTTACCTGTGGGATGGAAAATAATTCATCTGAAGCCAGGCCCATGGAGAGCTCAAGGAAAGCCTGGACTATAAAAAAGAAAGTAAAGACACTGAATTTTATTGTATATAAATTATGCACAATTTTAAAAACCAAATTGCAAAGTAGCATTTTTTAAAAATTTTAATTTGTTGGGTTTTTGAGACAGGGTCTCGCTAAGCAGTTCAGGCTGGCCTTTAACTCACTATGTAGCCCATGCTGGCCTCCAAGTCACAGAGATCCTCCTGCCTCAGCCTCCTGAGTGCTGAGATTACCAGCTACCAGGGCTGGCAAAGTAGCATATTTAATGTGATTCTGTTTGCATCCTGAGAAGGAAATGCAGGCAGACCTTGCTCATAAGTGGTTTGCATGACCTCTGAAGGGCCACCTCGGGAAGATGAATAATGAGCACCTTGGAGTCGGCCCAGGTGGGAGATGGAACCATTTTTGTTTTTCTGTGAGGTTTTCTTTTCTTCCCTCCTACATAAGTCCCCATGTGTTCCTGTCTGTGCGAAGTGCAGTCTGTGTTGCAATAGGAATCTGGCTCCCAGAAATGCAGAGGCCTCTTCTCAAATCTAGACTCTAGGGACAAAAATCCAAGGGATTTTCCAAACTGGCTAAGAATTTCCCCGACCACCAGGCAAATTCAACCCTGAGAGCTGTGGCTCTGAGGGACTCTTGTAGGTGGCAATGGAGGCTGTGACAAGCCAGCTGTCGGACTGAGTAACACTTGCGTGGCCAGCGGACACACCTTCAGCCGGGCTTCCGAACATGGCATTACTAGCTATGGTTTTGTTTTTCTGGGACAGGGTCTCGCTATGCAGTTGAGACTGAGCTGGAACTCACTATGTAGCCCAGGCTGGTCTGGAACTCACAGCGATCCTCCTGCCTCAGCCTCCCGAGGCCTGGGATTACAGGCGTGCGCCACCACGCCCGGCCTCTGGTCCTTTCTTATATAGGACCTGCTGTAGGTGGACTCACAGAAGACACTTCTTAAACACCTAGGAGACTGAACCGGGAGAGAGAGCTTCAGCCATCCTGGTCTATATAGTGAGACTCTGTCTCAAAAATGCTAAACGAAGGAAAGAAAGTTGAAGGAAAAAATGGAAACAAAGCTTTTGTACATAAGGGTGGAGGTGGGGGGAAAAGAAGAAGCTATATCATGTACTTCGTCCAAATTCCCTGTGACGGATATCATCATTATGTGTACCTAAAATGTATCAATAACTGTTTTGCTAAAAGAAAGAATGAATCATACACTGTCAGCTCAGCTCCTTCAGTCCCCAGTGACCAGCTCAGCGGGCGGCCGTCCTGTGGCCCTGCCCCCGGGGGAGAAGGGGCCGCAGGAGTTGAGGGACAGAGCTTCGATAGTGGGCCGGGTGCTCCCAGAGAGCCCAAGTCCTTTCTCGCTCCGAGCCCATAGGCAGCCTCAGCTGGGCAGCGCAAGTGGGGGTCTGGGGTTGGCTGCCTGGGGGAGAAACCTCCTCAGAGACACTTTCCTCTCATCAGCAAAAGTACTCCCTGGTGCTGGGAGCCGACTTACACTTCTCAGTAGGAGAAACCAAGCCCTGACTCTGCCTCAGCAAAACCAGAATTCTGAACGGAGAAATTCCCTCAAATTATTGACCTTTTTTTTTCTTTTTTGAAGCAGGATGGTCTTGGACTCACCGTAATCCTCCTGCCTCAGCCTCCCAAGTGCTGGGGTCACAGATGTGTCACCACACCCACTTCAGTGCTGGGGATGCCGCCTAGGGCCTTCCTACTGAGAGCCCA